TGTTGTTACAAAAAAAAAAGCAAAAAAAAAACAACAACAACAGCAAACAAAGTATAGAAACAACAGTAATCTTTATTAGCAACAGCATAACGCAGAGCGTAGACAGGTCAGTTGCGGTGTAAATAAGGAGCGCTACTCTCTGCTCTCGTTTCACCTCTCTTTTCGTATACAACGTTCAATGACAGTTCGATAGTAAAGCGTGCTACTAAATTCATCACCACAGCCGTTGTAGAGATAAACAAGCAAAAGAGAAGAATGTTAAATATTCACGTGCCAGAAAACCCGTAAGATGACGTGACGATCCAAAGCTGAGCACACGTTAGAGAGTGATTCTAAAGTAAAAAAAAAAAAATTGCTCTACATACAATTTTCATACTAACCAAAAAGCTTTGACGCATCTAGAGACTCGGAGAATCTCATGTTAGAACCAGCATGTTCAGTAACACAGTCACAAGAGCGAACATTAAGAAATTTTGGCGAGACCTCGTCTGACTACTATATACTGCCACAAGGACACGTAAGAGACTTTCAGCGTTATATCGAGCCAACAATAGACTTGTTGACCTCATTGAGTTGTCCATTAAGAAATACCTACTTTCTTATGGATTCGTTAGAGCCCATCGTAGCAACATAGGGGACTGTAGTGACCAAAAGCGACCAAAAAAGCTTTTGATGAGAGTATTTTTCGAAATATCAGACGTATTCAATTAGTTAAAGGAAACAAAAGAGCAGCCTTATTGAGAAGAAACTTAAAGCATTGTCTTATGTTTTTGAAATTTACAAGAACGACCGTGCTCTACCACAATCTCGTATATAATATTTATAATTGGCGCTTTGTAACCGCTGAGCTCCTCCTCCTGCAATTTGTGGCTTTGCGTCTTGGCGGACACGCCTCTGAACAGTTCCTTCATTTTGAGGAGCTCTTTTATTTCATTATCAGAAATACACTCAGAGAGCTCGACATTCCCTATCGTATCTCATATATGAGCCCATATTTAAAGAGTTGTCCGCTTGAAGTTTACTCCACATGTCTAGAGGAAGAAAATTGAAGAGCATGCGCTCTCTCCTGTTAGCTTCGGAAGGTAGTGTTTTCGAGTGTCGGTCAACTCAACCATTCCATTATATTAATCCACTAAACAGTATTCCGCTTTAGAGCCCAGCAGGCTGCAGTCAAGTTTGGTATCTATGTTTATATCGAGGTTATTTCAGTAGAGAGAGAGTGATCCCATTACATTCTATTCCTTAGACATCATTTCAGTTTTTGCAGAGCCCGATGGACTGGAACCAGTTTCCTAGAATTTACAAGAGATTTCATTGTAATTAGTCTATACTTCCCTCACTATAACACGCGCTGAGCAATTCCCGAATCAGTGGACTTACTGTGACACACTATAAGAGTGGCGACAAAACTCCTCCTTACGTTATATACTCTGTGGTGCCGCGCTGTCCATCTCAGCGGGGTTGTTCATGTTTCTCAGCGAGGTGATCATTCTGATTCACTTGATTGATACTCTCTTCATTTGATATAGAGATTTCTTTAGCACTGGCTCAGACATGGGGAGTCTATACTATAAAACATACCTGAAAAAGAGTATTCTTAACTTAGGACTTTGCCGCGAATTGTAGACCATTCAATATCCAAAGTACTTTTTGGGTAATGTTGCGGGAGCGACTGTCCTTGGTCTGATAAAAATCCGGGTCGCTTCGGTATAAAGACCCGACTGTCGCGGGAACTATTGGATTTTAGTCGCCTCTTACGACAGGCCAGCGTTACAGCGGATAAGTCCTTGAACACTTAACCCGCAAGGGGGGAAGTGATATTTAGTCTCCCTCGATGATTTTTCTGACGGTTTTTTTCTTTATGCTTTCCTATCGCCACTGTAAGTGAAAGTGAAGCCGAGAACCCGAGCTCCTCACTGCTTATTGTAGCGTATTTTGCACTTGGACTTCCGCCTAACGCCCAACTCGCTCAACAACTGAGTACAGCTGACCATCCACAACGCCGCACATACGATGATTGGGTGCGTCAAACAGAATTTGGGGCTTCGATAATCCTTAAATAATTGAAACGACGCCATAACACTCAAAAACACATTACTGTCTGGTGCGCTCAGGGGTCCGGAGGTGTGACTTACTTCATTGAAAACGACAATGGCGAGACTGCCACTATCATTTTGGAGCGTTATGGTCTTAAGACAACCGCCTTTTTTTGCCTGCCATAGAAGAACACGACTTTGACAATATGTGGTTTCAACAAGATGGTGCCACATGCCACTCATTATGAACGAATATGTCCTTATTGGAAGAGGAATTTCTCTGCCACGTAATCTCTCGCCTTGACGGTATCAATTGGACACCGAAATCGGGCGGTTTGACGCCGTTGGACTCTTTTTTGTACCGCCACGCTTTAATATCAAAGACTTGAGTTTGTATCTAAATTTTCGAAAATTTTCTTGATTTTCATTGACATGAATTATATTTTTGGAAAAATTTTAATTCATGCCCCAACCATACCAATCACCGTCATTTGTGCGCTTGGAGAAGAACTCAAAAGCGCTTGAATGCGCGTTGGTACTCTCGACTGTGTATTAGACAAGAATAGAAGAAACGCGAAAAGCACAAACAATAATCATTTTGTTTTTATTTTTTTTACTACGCTTTTCAACGTTCCTTTTTCGCACTTCAAGTACACTTCCCACCAACAATTAAAATCAACTGTTTGATCTTTTATTTCTGTTTGATTGTTAAGTTGAAGTGCTTTCGATTCACTGGCTGGTTGTTTGAGCAGCGAACAACTCGCATTGTAAAAGCTCACATTGAAATACAACCCTGTATTGTATTGAATTCCACATCGAATGGTATTGGAGTGTGTGATTTCTGTGCTCTCACACGAGAGAAAGTATAAAGAAAATAATTATTTTACAGTCAAACTCGACAAGAATATCACCGAAGACAGCCAAAAGAAATATGTAATAAGAAGTGGCTTGAAGTTGTGAGGGACTTATGGCGCAGGTGTTCAGTCAGTCAACTTGAAATGTTTATTTTAGGACTAAAAGACTCTCTAAAAGACACCAAAAATGTAACAAAAGTTACTAAGTCTCGCAAAAATCATTTATGGGAGTAAATAATATTCGACACCTCATCAATATTCTAAACAAGCTATACAAGCTAGTGTAGGAAGCTCAAGTCTCCCTCCGCAGGTTCGCAGTTACGCTTCCTGCATGCCTCATAATTGATTTAATCCAATAAGAACTCTGTCAATAAGACTGTTTACTAACTAGATGTTGCAATCTCATTTCTTGAACTCTAATTCAGGGTAATAAAGAAGGCTCCAGGGGATGAGCAATTCAAGTCAAATCGCTCTATATTACAAAACTGTCTCTCACGGTTATGACAGAACTAATGCTCTTGCTCTGAGGCCCTTAGACTTTTATTCTCCAGCCTAAAGAAGGAGTATTTTGCGCGCCTCAGAAGCTCTGAAGCATAAAGTTTTTCCATTCCACCTTTTGTATTAAAAACTTAGCTAATACCGGAGCTCGGATGATGATGGTAGCTCGGTAGAATTCACTGGTATCGATATAAAGTAAATTAATTTTCATGCGATATCAAGCGCTAATATTTTATGCTCGTCGTACTATCGGACATTTGCTCATTCGCTGTCTCGTACAGTTTATCTTTCGTCTAGTATGCATAGATCTATGAAAATTCCTAGATCCGACTCATTGGAGATCGTTATCGTCCACGCTAATGCACTATATAGCAGACCGAGTATAAAAAGCAACTTAGAGAGTTTAAACCGCGGCTGCCCCTTAGTCGTATGTAGACATATCTACTATTATCCCATTAAATCGTCATCGACTGCGGATTGGGATTCAAGAACTCTCAAATTCAGTGCGATCTGGATATTCGCCGCCATTTAACCTGCCTAGGCTCTACGTGAGAATGCGCCGTTCATAAACTTTACGAGCTTTACCTTTGCCTATCGACTTGTCAATCTCATCGTACTTTTGCACTTCGGGCTCTCTCTTTGTTTATCCACGAGAGGCTAGCTCTCTTGTCATAAACCAATAGTTTTGTTTACGGCTATAAATCTGTAGCTGGAATCGTCGTTCCGAGCTTCCCTTATACCGATGAATGCCCACAGTGAGTTAAATAGAATGCAAACCGAGTTAAAGACTGCTATTTGGTTGTAAAAGAGTGTCAAGGTTAGACAACCAGTCGACAAAGTGTCCCAAGGCACTCTATCCACGTAAACTGCTCACCCGCTTGCGAGTTGAAGGTAAAGAATATGCTGGAAATAATGGCCGCGCTTTCTCGGCTACGTGCTTCCAGAGATTAAGTTTCCTAGCAATAAGAGCAGGGAAAAAGTGACACAAAAGAGAGTAGAGTCAACTTTATAACTCAGTTTAAGATGTGTTACAATAGAGTGACGGAGTTGAGAAGTTAAGATGAACTTGGAAACTCAGTAAGTTGTTCAGTAAGCCCAGTTTTTTAGGACAAGTTGAAGTTAAACCAATTTTGTTCAGCAGAAGACCAACTAAAACCTATAAGGTTAATTTTTTTTTTTTTAAGAGAGACTTTAAATCTCTGAAAGCCTGCAAGCTCCCTGAGTCGTTCAACATTCGTTTGTTTCTCAATCTGCTCTCGTGACTTTTGAACTAAATTAAGTTCCAACAAGGCGCTAAGTGATCTGTGGTAAATCACTATAGTCGTTGCTTTCTTCGTGGCACATTTCGGAGCTTCAAAAGGACGCTAGTTATACGTATGACCTAACCAAAGAGATTGCTCTTCTAGGTGAAAGTACGACTCCTGAAAAGAAAACACTTCGCACTCCACAGAACTTTCGAACACTTTTTTCGGAGACTCCACTGCCGCTGCGGGGTAAACAATACATTTGAGTCACCCTTCCACCATCCCATTGTCTTTCCATCCTATTTTCTAACCAAAGTTTCTTAAATTAAGTAACACATTTTTGAAGAGTCAAGAGCTATCAACAGCTTTTATTCGCAATTTTTAACCAGAAATACATAAGTAAATTCAACAACAAAGTGCTGCTCTCCAAATTTAGACCCCGCAAGTGTGTCGATAGTCGAAATCTAAAACTCGTACATTTCGCAGATTAGCGCACATCAACAGCCCCGCATCGGGTATACGCTTGCGAAACGCACGCAACGCGTGCAATAATGGCTCAGCGCTGCAATCACAACGCCAGGGGTTACCGGAGAGATATAACTGTACCAGCGCACGGCTGTCATTTAGGTAAGTTTGCACGAAGTCCGCGCGTAACTGAGTCAAACTATTCTCACGCACATCTAGCAGCGACAAATGCGCCGGCAATTGAGCGACAAGTAGTTCGGTAATACCGTTATGCGATACATTTAACTGTGTGACATTCGCATAACCGAAGAATGTGTTCGAAGGCAGTGCAATCAAGTGATTGTGTGTAATGGAGAGTTTAGTCCCGTTCGCCGCTACTTGCTCGGGACGTGGTAGGCGTGGCAATGTATGGATTTTACCGTGAGAGCAATTTATATGCAGGTAATTATCAACTGTGGCGCAAACGCACTCATTTGGACACATAACGGGTGAGTAGGGACAGAGCGCCGTGCTATCAGCGTAATATATTGAAACAGCTTTCTTTGTTGTTGTTGGTTCATAGCAAAGCAAGTTGCTTGGTGAAAGTATGCACTGATTGTTGTTGTAGATCCAAGCCAAACTGCAGTCGCACACCAGCGGGTTGCCAATCAGATCGATCTCGCCACGGCAATGATTTGAGTCTACCACCAAGGCGTGTAAGCTGTGTATGGCTTTTATTTTATTATCGCTAATATTCAATAAAAATGGTTCACGCAACTGTGCTACATCCAGCCAAGGTTTATTAAATGCACTTATGCGGTTGCGACTCAGATCTATCACTGTCAGATTGGCTGGTGGCCGCTTATTTTCCCATGGCAGTATTTCTGCTAATTTCTTTAACATTTCGTCCGGTAACTCAACGGTGTTCCTAAAACTGGACAACAGCGTCTCATTTTCCTGCGAACCCCTGACGGTGTAGAGTAAATTCGCCGCGAGGTCAAGTCGATGTAGAAAGCTTAACGACCTTATGTTCCTTATAATATTCACCACATTGCTAAAGCGATTGCCACGTAAGTTAAGCTGATAAAGCTGTTTTGTATTCTTCAACAGTTCGGCTGGCAAATCTTCCAAGAAATTATCGCTCAGATTGAGCACGAGCAAATTGCGTTGTGCCTTTAGTAGGTCATGCGGCAGCGCTTTCAAACCGCAACCCTGCAACCACAAAAACTCCAAGTGTGGCATTGTTGAGAAAAGATCGCCGGTTAGCGGTTCCATTTCGAAGCCTCTCAAAGCAAAGTAGCGTAGTGATTGCAAATTTTGCAAATGTACGCTACGGGAGAGTCCACGTAATCTAATGCGTGACGGCATATTTTCATAGCCGTCAAGTTGAAAAGAGAGACCCTCTAAATTCGACAGCGGCTCGAAGAGATCTGCAGGTACTGCATGCGCTTCGCTACTCTTGCGGCTAGTCGTTGTCGCTGGTAATACAAAGAAATGTAGCAGACGTATATTTTTAATATTTTTAAATATTTTCGACTGTAAAACATCTTCGCCGACTTGGTAATTGAGTATTAAACTGGCTATATTTTCTATACGCCAAAAGAAATCCCTTGGCACTGGCTTATTAAAACTGATATTTAAGTCATATGTTGCATTCGGTTTAATCAATCGCTGTGGTATTTCCATACAATTGGTCATTTGCAATGCTATCTCATTCCCCATACTGCTGCCCTTTCTCCTTGGTGCATGCTCCAAAAGCGCGCTTATGTTTTTGGGATCGCCTTCGCAGTTCATTTCGAAACTATCACTTGTGTGTGAGGTTATGTACGACACCTTGCCGAAATTGTCGGTAAACTCACATTCAACTCTATTGTCTGTGTCACAAAAACATTTTCCCCCTTCGCCATCGTAGCAAAGCGTCCTCTGAGTTGGGTATTCGGCATTGGGAGATTCGTTAGCGCACGTTCCGCAAGCGACGCAGAAAAATAGCAAAAGTACGCTTAGAGCGTGTGCGCGTAGTGTGCGCATGGTCGCAGGTACAGGCTGGTCTTTAAAAGATATTTAATACAAAAATATTTAATAATATTTGGAACTCTTCTTTCAGTTATATTTACTTCAAGAAACGCTTTTCAACTGATGATATTTTCGCTTTCGAGAGTATTTATATACATACATACCCTTGGTTACAGTTAGTGGTTTTGTGATAACGTCATACATCTATATTGCATTAATAATCTTTTAAATTTTTTATTATTTTTTTCCTTTAATTTTTTGAGCAAATACACGAGTGAAGGTCTAAAAGTTCGTGCACTGCAGCCTCTAGAAGTTCTCTAGAAGTTCCTCTAGAAGAATTTCAAGAGTCTGTTCAGATATCAACTAGCCAATTTAGAACAGTTAAGCAATTGATAAAAAAAAAAATTATTTAATAAAATTAAAAAGTATTTAAAGCGTTCTCAATCAAGCAAAATGTTCGAAAAAGGAAGGACTCTCCCAAATCACCCAGAAACGCCAACAGGAGGAAATTTGTGTTTCATCAGCACAACGCCAGACCACACATATCGATACTGACTCGCCAGAAGCACCGAGCGTTTAGTTGGGAGGTTCTCATACATACACCTTATAGTTCAAACCTCGCATCAAGTGTTCATCATCTGCTGCATCATATGAATTTTATTCTATTTTATTTTGTTTTATTTTATTTTATTTTATTTTGTTTTATTTTATTTTATTTTATTTTATTTTATTTTATTTTATTTTATTTTATTTTATTTTATTTTGTTTTGTTTTATTTTATTTTATTTTATTTTACTTTAATTTATTTTTTTTTGTTTTGTTTTATTTTAATTTATTGTATTTTATATATTGAATATTTATTTTATTTTCGTTTGTTTATATTTTATTTTGCAAGATTTAATTATATATATATTATATATATTATATATATATTTTTAATTGTTTCTTCATTCTTTTCTAAATTAATTTAATTTTCAATTCCAAATTTAAGTTCTCCTTGTAATTTTATTATAATTAAAATAATTATATATTTTTTGTTTTTATTTTATGTAATTTATTAATTTTTTTGTTACTTATTTAATTTTGTTTTTAATATTTATTTTTTATCACATTTTTTTTATTTTTATTTTAATTATTTAATTTAATTAATTTTTTTGTGCTATTTTATAATTAACTTTTTTAATTATATTTATTTGTTTTTTAATTTTTTCAATTTACTAACAATTTGATTATTGGATCTCCCCTCGTATATGCAAATAAGTAGTTACTGATTATTTTTAGTTAACCGCAAAATTTTAAAGAATTTTATAAATAAGAAACTGATTAAATGAACTGATTCCAGGGCACAATGATATAATAGTTTATTTTAAGATGTAAGCCACTAATTGAAGCAGGAGCTGAACATTTAATCTTTGCCTTGGTTGAAAAACACAAATTTCTGCTAATGACGGAATACCACTTAATTCATATGGCTGCAGTGGGTAGCCTTGAGAAAGAAAATTTGGAGCCGTGTGCCAAGTTTGATTTCGTGCAGCACTAATACTCTATAGCCCCCCAAAAAAAAACTGCTGGGAGGCGCCCAGCTCCTGTTATTTTCTTTAATATAATATTTGGAAACAAATAATCTTCTCTTAAAAACAGTATTGTACTGAGGTACAGAGATTCCCTCCAAGTATTTTACTTTCCCTGATAAATGAATGTGAGCACTCTGTATCGAGTAAAAAATCGCTTTTTCGCTACTTTCAAGTTGTTGTAGCCACAAAAATATTCCCGAAAAGTAGTTGTTGGAGAATTTTTCGAGAGTAACACTCTTTGGCCGACAAAAAATCCTAGTCGTTCCGGTATAAAGAGCCGACTGCCGCCTGCTGAGACAGATATGCCTCACCGCTCAATGTGCCCTACCCCGCAGGGGCAACTACTTTCTGGCAAATAAGAGCGGTGGAGTTTTTTTTACAGCAAGATCAGGCAATTTGGTTACCTCTGTAAAAGGACATACATAATATTGTACCCCATGCCATGAGTACTACAGCGACTACCTTGCAATCAACAGAGCTTCCAGCTTATTGGGCAACTCCCTGTTTGAGTAGTTACACTATGAACGAGTTTTGAGCGAGTTCTGCATACTCAAAGCTTTGAATAAGTCGTTAAATTTTGTATTTTTCTTATGAGGCAAAAGAGCTTTTGAATAGAGCTTTCGGACAGAGCTTTCGAGAGCTTATCACATCACAAATTGTGTAGCCTGAGATACATGGAATCGGAACCATACAATCTAACCGCACATAAATTCGAAAATACGCTGCAGTTTATAACAGCTTTCATTTTTATATGCACACACACAAATACATGCATACATACATACAGACATACAAACGACCTCAACCGCTAAAATAGGCTTAATTATATTTATATGCGAGATAAGAAGAAAAACAAGAAAGAAGTTGAGTGAAAGTCTCTCTGCTAACGTATGCCAAACAAAACCAATGGCAATTAATCTACTACAACAACTACACCAACTACAGCAATACCCTTAATACAATAAAATAAAGTGCCTAAGAAATACCACACATCACTTACTTATCTACTTACATACTCACTTACTCACTTACTCACTTACACTTATTATATATTAATACATGTGTAAACACTCAAAACAAAACTCACCAAAATAGAAAGAAAAAGGAAGAGATAAATCTGTATGTGTGTAAGTGAATTTACGAAGGTAAAAGTTTTATATGGATTCTTGTTTGTTAGTTTTTGTATTAAGTGATTGTCTTAGAAGGAAAAGTTTATGGTGTGTCTATAGAGGACTTTCCTATGAATGTATGCATGTACGTATGTATGTATGTCTGTATACAAACAGTCTGTAATATCTTGTAATTATGGTAGACAAAAGACATATGGAAGTTTTGGAACTTTTCTTTCAAAAATAGTAGTTTTCAGGTAGGAAAATATAATTTCCAAGCTCTAAATGGCTTGAGGATGTGTGAGTTAATATGTTGGCGTAAACACTGCTTAGCTAAGTTAATAACAGTGCACCTGCCATTGCTTCTCATTCGCTGTTTGGCGGCAATTGGAAATAGCAAGTACAACTAGGTTCTTCTCCACCTGGTATTTTTTCAACAGAGTGGAAGTCTTTCTCTTCAGCAACTTCAACCGGCGGTTATTGTATCAACAACTTCCAAAGCTGTAGTATTCTGATCCATCCGGAGCACTGAACTTAACCTTGGCAACCGCTGTTACTTGATTCGCTGTACTACGTCAATGTCGCTGTATAACTCATACACTGTCTACGGCACTCGCTGCAGCCAATGCGCAAAGGACCATAAAATCTTCTAGGCAAAACCTTTGCCTTGAAAACTTCTAGCGCCATCTCATCAGCTGTTGACATCGCCCATGCCTCCACAGCATATAGCAGGACGGAAATAATGAGCGACTTGTAGAGTTTGGTCTTCGTTTGTTGAGAGAGGACTTTACTGTTCAATTGCCTACTCAGTTCAAACAAATGGAGGGACCTACAGTTCATTAGAAAAGGACATACACATTAATGTTGGTAGCCAGGCGGCTTTTAAGGTCCTAATTTCAAACACTACGAAGTCGTCTTCGATTGCACTATGCGAAGAGGCGATAAAAAGACTGTCTGGGTTATATGGGCATTAAAGGCAATAAAAAAGCAACTGAACCAGCGGATAACACACATCCCTCCCTTACCTGCCATATAATGAATTTCGGAGTTCATAGAGAACACCATCAGCGTCCTACCCATTCGAACGGAGCATCTACTCTGGTAAACTGTCGTGACCGCTATCGTTCGTCTTATACCGGCAGCCCGAAAGCCCACTTAAACGGCTCAAAACGTAGGTGTCAAGAAAGCATACGTAAACATCTAAAACATAACTCCTCGCCAAGGTCTGCAAACTGCCTCTAACTACACTAACAAGACCCGCCCGGAGAAATCTATCAACAGAGGGAAATTATATCGGCCTAATCTTCCTCTCAGGCATGTTCAAAGTAAAAGGAGTTCTGTTATGCTAGTGCCAGACAACACGATACGTGGAAATACTACAGACACCCTGTAAAATATTCTACAAGGATCAGAAGGAGGGTTAAACGACCACCCCTCTCTCTCTTTTGCGACTATCCGACTATGAGCAGCGCTAGGTTTCGAAGCTTTGGAGCCCTGCTACTGGATGTTCTATCCTAGACAGTCATGGATCTAACAAGGTTCATTGGAGAATCAAGCTTGTCGGATATCAAAGCGTGATGGTCAAATTTTTGTGGCATCACAATGGGTCTTAGTAAGTTCTAAGTGTAATCAATGCGACAGATCGGTAGCCACTTATGAATGTGCCATTTTTCGGTCGTCGTGAAGCATCTTGTCTGGTCGCAAGCTAGAAATTGGTGGAAAATATGAAGCTGCTGGAACAAAACACGTGCACGTCACTCAAGAACTACTGAGAATATTGCTGCTGTAGCCCAAAGCGTTGAAGAAACCCCAGATTTATTCATTCCTCATCGTTCTTTGGAATTGATCATACCACAAACATCCTTACAGCGTATTTTGCTTAAAGACTTGTGATCTAAGGCTTTTAAAGCTTAGGAAACACAAGAACTCAAGCCGGCCGATCGGGGTCCTTGAAATGCAGGAAAATGATCCGGAATTTCATTGAAGGATCATACTGACTATTAGAGGTATTGATCTCTACAACGTTTACTTTAAACAAAGCGACTCTTTGTGCTAAGCTAGCAACGAAACTATTCATCTTTTTTGGGGAATAGTATCAGAACCGTTTTATCTCTCGAAGAGGTGATCACAATCGGCTACCGAACTCTTGAGATTTAACACCTTGCGACTACTTCCTTTGCGGACAAGTGAAAGATGAGGTCTTCGCCAATAGGCTTACGTCGATTGAAGACCTCAGTGATGAAATCTATGGGCAGCATAAGCGATTTTGAGTTAGATAATTTCATAAAAAGGACACGACCCTGTAAGCGTAACTTACACACATATCTTCCTCTTAACATTG